ATCGCTCCATGCAGGGAACTGATGCACAAATTTTCATGTGAGTAATTAAAACCCAAGCCTCCTCGTTCTTCTCCGCTCTCCAGGCCCTCCCTGTGTTTCTCCTGTAATTCCATTTTCAGCTCTCTCGCTTCTTTCCCATTTTACAGAAATTCTCAGTCCTTAGGCGGGGAGCATCCCTATGCTGAGATGATGAGTTTGTAAGGCAGAGGGCTGCAGCAAATGCCTCGCGAAGCCCAGCCAGCGGCCCCTGGCCCCCTTCCTCCCCTCCTCAAAGTTCACACGGTTTAGTATGCAAGCTTCCTGCCGCCTGCCCAGCCAGCTCACTATTCACAGGCAAACTGCGCTCCTCCGCTTGGCTCCCGAAGAAGAATAAGTATAAAAAGCCCTGAAAGTCTTGCTGCTGAGCCAGCAGGAAACTCAAACTGCTCTGAGCATGGGAACCAAGAGAACCACTGTGGCCAGCACAACAGGTATTGTTTGGGAGGAAATCCCAGCAGCAGACACAACTGCCTATGCACACACATATATTTTATATATATATATATATATGTATATGCTTAGTGAGGGTTTGGAAAAGGGGAAGGTTGGGGAAGTGTACGAGGAGGGAAGAATAGATTAGCAGCTATATCCAAGAAAGAATAAGAGAGCTGCTCAGCCAAGCTAAACAGCTGTTTCACTAGGCAAAGAACTGACCTGTCTGCCACACATTAGAACCATGTGGGACCTTAGGGTAAAGCGATGTCTTGGGGATTGGTCTCTTGACCTTGGTCTCTTGACCGGTCTTCTATGTGCCTGGTTTTGTTTGCATCAGGAGTGAGTTTATGAGGCAAATCTCCCATTTGTACCACTTGCCATCTTTCAGTTTACATCAGGCAGCAATTTTTTTAACTGGATTCCCTTTGAGTAAAAGGAAACCAGGCGATGGCCTCCAGGAGTGCACCTCCTGCGTTCCAACCTGTAATGAGAGTCCGGTCCCTGGGAACCAGAACGGAGGCAGTCTGATGTAAATCCCCTGACATATCAAGTCTTCAGCACCAAACAGCCACCTCTGTGGATCTGCTCCCGCTGCACCACACCAGCTGCTAACACAGGCACCGTGTCTCTGCAAATACGGTAATTTTGAGAGCAAAAAAGTGAAGGAAGAAGGAAAAGCTTGAATTATGTAACTTCCTTTTTCACCAAAAAGAGAATAAAAGCTGTGGTAAAACAGCTCACAAAGCCCACATTCACAAGGAGTCATAACAGTTGAGTTTGATAACACTATGGTAGTCTAGAAGTATTTGAATTATATGTCTTACCATCTTTCTTGATAGAGATGCTATAAAGAAATAAACCTGAGAGCAGCAGGTCATCCCACCCAACTCAGCATCCCTTGCAACCATTTCAAGGAGCAGCAGCTGTGAAAACCCCAGATAAGAGAATGCATGACCCCAAATCTCATGACCATAAGGATATGGCTAGAAGAGCAACACACATGCCTTGGAAAGTGAGAAAGCTAGCAGAATGAAAGTGCCAAAATTCAAGTCAACATGAAGGCATGCAAGTGACAGATTGTCCTTGTGGGATTGATCTTTGTTCCCCAAATACTCCAGACTGAACAGCATTATGAGCACTACCAGCCAAACACCCAGCATTTATGCACTGCCACATTTCTGAACTGCTTTAAAGCTTTCTGCACTAGGATTTTACTCACTACATAGAGAGGGGTCAGCTGTGAAAGTCAGATCTGGACTGAGCTCCAACGTCCTCAAATAGCTCCTTTTTGGGGAGAAGAGGGGAGTTGAGCTGGGGTTGTGCCCTGGCCCCACTCTAGTTGTAGGACCAGATGGAGGAGCATCTGTGTAACTGAGGTCATTCCTTTCATTTGGTTAGACAATTTTGGGGTAGGAAACCTCAATGCACAGGCTTGTTTTGGATAAACACCAGAAAGCAGTTTGGGAACCTGGCCGAAACAAGCTAATTCTCCAGAGTCTGTAAGACCAGTGGAAAATGCGGGTAAGAGCTTACCTCTGCTATTAGCAGCTTTCCCGTAATAGGTTTTTCCTGTGCTATATGGGAGCTCCAGGGCACTCAGGACTTCTGCAGCACTCCTACCTCTGAAAGTCCACTGCAGGGTCAGGAGCCTGCTGAGGGAGGGAGGATCTGAACTGTCACCTCCTGAGCTCCCAAAAGAAAAGCCCTCCGAAAATGAATGTATCTTAACACTGTGCTAGCTGCCTTAATGACCCTGGCATGCAGGCCCTGAGCAGCGATGAAGGCCTGGTGAGCTGTCAAGAGCCGAACAGTGGGAAAGGCAGCTGGTTTGCACACAGGTAACCTGGGATGTTCAGAGCACAGCCACACAGAGTCAGGAATGGAAAATGTGACCAGTCCTTCATGGCAGAAGAGACAGAGCCACGTGCAGATTATAGTCAGGAGTGTGAAGCTCAGAGCTTCCCACCAGCACTCCTCCCTGCTACGGCCAGGTGGAAGAAAACAAACCAGTGCCCTGGGGAGCAGCAGCCCCTTGCCCCCAACTCCCCGCAGCTGCCCGGTTTCCAGTCTGCAGGGTGATGACACGAAGCAGAGGCACTCGCTCCTCTCCTCACCCATCTCCACTCAAAGAGCACTCTGAGGAAAGGGAATTAAATTGCAGCATCACATTCCAGCGCAGCAGTCGGGCTGCATCACGGACCGCTCCTGCCACGGGTAGCGTTGCATGCCCACTGCACCGCAGGCACAGTTGCATGGCTTCCCCTTGCCTTTGCAGATGTGTAAGTGCAGTGCCAGTCACGGGGAGCAAAGGAGCAGCCCAAGCCTCCCAGGTCTCCACGGGATGAGCAGAGAACAGCCCGTGCCACTGCAAGCGCAACGGTCTCTGTGTCGTCCATGTCCTTCCACGCAAAGCGTAGGGACTGGGGGAGCAGGACCTGTGTCGGGGCTGGAAAGAGGACCCACCTCCCCAGGGCTCCGGAGCAGAGGGAAAGGGGTGAAACCCCCCCCGCAGCAGCAGGCTGCATGGGCTCTCACACACAGCCTTGGCACCGCGCCTCCGTGTTGACCAGGAAAATTGGCCGCCGTTGCGTAGAGCCAGATTCCATCTCCCAGGCCCATTGAGCACACTGCCGGTGGGTGGACTGCCAGCGAGGCGGACACCCATTAACAAACACGGTGAGCATTGCACAGCCAGTCCCTCGCATTCACTACCCACCAGGTGGGATATCCGTCAGTGGCTTCGGGGAGAAAGGCCCTGCGTGTTCGCCGGTGTTTGTCACAGCAGCCCAAAGAGGAGAACAAAACTGTGAAGCAAGACAATACTTCTAACTTGAAGGGGAACATTTCTTCCTCTATTAATTATTTCCCATGCTATTCCTGGCGGTGACCTTCACTGGGAAGGAAAAAAAAATTCAGATTTGTTTTTATATCTTTTATCCGACTTCCTATACTTAAGCCTCTGGCTAGAATGAGTCACATTTGTATCAGCAATCGCATTATATTATGCTGTATCAGTGCTGCTACCTGTCTTGTCTTCCTCGCCATTAGGGTTTGTTAGCATTAAACCAGGCAATTTGCAGCTATATTTAAAGATTACCTGCCTCAGTGGCAGTGCCCATAATACCCTTGTTTCATCTTTGGAAGTAATACCGTGAGGATTACGTTTGAGACTGCTGGCAATCCGCCCTGGACTGAAGGGAAATTATCCTGGTTCTGTGCAGAGAAGTCTTTGCCTCTTGCAGAGCAGGCATCTCTTCTCCAACCGCTTACAATGAAATCCCTTACGTGCATTGCTGGCCTTTTATGTACCCACTCACCCCTTTAGAGATACCTAGCATTATTTCTGCTCCCTCTGTGCAAAAGAGCTGCATGCTGAAATCATGGCCTCGAGAGGCAGGGAGTGTTATCTCTCTGGGTGGGGGGATGACCTTCATGGTTCCTCATCAGCCATCGGCCCAGCTTCCCCTGCCCAACAATTTAAAGAGTTGAGAAGAAACTCCACCAGGGAAGTCTTAGAGGCTCGCGCCCCTCTGAGAGGACTTCCCACAGAAGGCAGCGGGCTGGTCCTTGGTCTCTCATTTCATTCACGCTTGCTTTCTTCCTCTGCTTCATAAACACAGTGCTCGCAAAGCATCATCTTTCGCATGAAAGGGGCACTTGCAAGCAGGTTCCAGACATTTCAGTTGTTTTGGGTTTTTAAATGTGCATTTGGATTGCAGCAATGGCCTAAGTCCCCTGCCAGAACTGAAGCCATACCGTGCCAGGAGCTGTGTGAGTGCCCAGGAAGAGCCCTAGCCCTTAGCTGCTTCCAGCCTAAAAGTGTAGCACTCAAAAGTTTAAAAGAAAAATGGTATATTAGAGGTTATAACATAAAAACGTGCCTGAAAAAGAGTTTGATCTTCATCCTACAGAATCCCAAGGAATCCTAGTCAAAATGTGGGCATCCCCCAGAGACTGAACGTTTTTGCCCCCCACACAAATGCTGTTGCTATGCGTCCTCCATTGCTGAGGGACTCCTGACCTGCAGTATGAGGATGGAACAAACGCTGGCTGCTGGCCGTGCAGAGGACCTGTTCCACCTCTGAGCCATGGCTCATGGCATGCCAGCTGGGCCAGTGCAGAACATACAAACCTCTTTTTTTAAGCAAAACAGCATCATATGCCTCGGTGTGAAGGCAACTAATTTAAGGCAAATTGCAACAAGTGTGACAAACAGCAGGAGATAAGGAAGACTTAGGGGTACTTCATAAAAGTATGTTTACTTTGCTGACATCCCCAGAAGAGGTCATAGTCTGGAAAGGGCAAAATGTTTTCAACAGCCATTGTTCTTTCTAGTGCAGGTCTACTTGATTTTCCATGACATGAGAACTAATCACTGGGCTTGAGGTTGTATTGCAGGATTTTAGTTTTAAAAAAAGCCCAAGAGAGCCACTTTCAATATATATATTGGGGTCTATAAATAAATAAATGCGACACATGAAAATAAATAATATGTTTCTTTACATTTACTGCCGCTTTCATTACAGCATCAGAAATAGGCATGGAATATTTTCGGTGGCTTATTCTCATCCTGAAGTAATAGGTATGCATTAACATCCATTGCAAAACCATCTCTTGACATTTGTAAGCTTTGTTGATAGAGGAAAGGAGGCACACAGGCCCTCCCAAGCAAGCTCTTATTCACAGGTACAAACCTTTGTTCAGTGATGAATGAATCCTTTCAGAAATACTAATATCAGCACTTATACAAGGTGGCCAATGTAAACAGTAACTGCTGGTTCATTATTCTTTTTGGATCCTTTGCCAATTTACAGATCTTCAGAGTTAGTGTTGAAATAGGCAGCGTTTTGCTGGAAAAGAACGAAAGTGCATTTCTGAACCAAAATCTACTGATGGGAATAGATGACATTACAACCCCAAGAAAGGGCTTCCCTGTGAACCCCACCAGTGTGAGAGAGGAGGAGAGACAGTAAGAAGATGGGGATTTTGATACTTGGACCATATCTCACTGCTTGCATTCCCCCAGGAGATTTAGTACTACCTCTGAAGGCAGCAGCCAAAAATATGCTTTGATGTATCTTTCATCTAAAGCTATCTATATTGATAAATTACATTTCTGCGGTTGAAGCACTGAACCAGAGATAGGGCTTTTGTTCCCCCTTCTACCAGAGGCTCTCAGTGTGTCCTTGGAGAAGCAATGGGAGTTTGTGTGCCTCACCTGGGCCTCTCTCAGCCAAGCAGAGGAGAGACCACTTTCCCACACAGCTGGCATGGAAGAAAGCTCTGTGCATCATGAGATGGACAGGTCCCACCATACTGAGTCCTCCTGAAATCAGTGAAAACAAATTGACACTGGTCAGATTCAAGCTGCCCTAAAATTAATCATATGATTCATTAGGAAACAAATTCTTCAGTTCAGAAATTACCAGCAACAATCTTCTCTTCTGGGCTTACTGCTCCCACAGATGAGCCAAATAAAGGACCATCTGAAAGGCTGTGATTCATTTCAGTGCAAAGCAACTGGCTTTGCTTTGATTGCAGGGGAATGTGACTTAAATGAGGCCAGCTGACTTTGTCCTGAAGAGGACTACAGTGTCTCACATGATCCTTAGCACAGCCCAACCACGGATGGTGACCTCTCTGGCTAAAGCCACAGGACATTCAACTCTGCCCTAGGACGTTTGCCCCGATAAAGAGAAAATAGACTGGATAGAAATGGAGTTGCCAGAAGAAACTGTTGAGGGCAACAATAGGATTCCAGAAAAAATCACTTCCTCAGATGACAGGGGACGATCATCTCTCATTACTTGCACTCTTCTCCCCCCAGGTAACTGAGCGCTGCTGGATTAAGCTGGGGGAGATGGGGGGGATGGAGGAGCAAGAAGCAGTCTTTTTTGGTAAGGGAACATGTACAGTAAATAACAGCTGCAAAGGCTCCCTCGTGTATTGAAGACGTTATAATTTGGGGGTTTTCTTCCCAAAAATCAGGCTTTAATGGGAAGCAAGTTTCACCCCTTCTAAAGAAGTACTCTACAATAAGCTTGTTAAGCTTGGAAAGTGCTTTGGGAGCCCCTGGGATGAAAGGCGCTCTAGGAATGAAAGCTGATATTTATGATTATTGCTTGAAAGGAACAGAGAGGAACACTAATGTAAAATATGAATGGCTGCTCATGCTAAAAAACATATCGTTAACTTGGTGCCAAAGAAGATAGTCCCAGCTCTCAAACCTGGATGACAAGGATTTAGGAGGTGCAAGAAGTGGAAGAGATTCTTGCAAATAATGGCAAAAGCCAACCTGCTATGCAGGGCAAATAGGTGTCTTGTGGGTTTTTCTTTTCTTCCTCCTGAAGTGCAGGCTATATGATCTCTCTCACCCCAGCTCTGCCAGCCAAAACAGATGCCCATTAACCACAGTAAGTACTGCTGGTTTGTACTCCTCTTAAAAGGGGAATCTACAGATCCCTTAGGACAGGAGGGGAGAACGATATCCTTGGTAAGTGGTCAAATGTTATGGATTGGCCTGGGTAGATTCATCTTATCTCAATCAACAGACTAAGAAGCAGAAGCACTCCAGGCTAATGTAAATTAAACTTCTCTATTTTAGAAAGCTATGAGAGAAGAGAATTGGGCTAACAGATTCTGCTCCTGTGAGCACCTACCTGTACACTCACAGCTTGCATAAATCTCTTCTGTTGATTTTACACTGGGCATCTGGTCCCTAATGTGGCACTCCACAGCTCCTAGAGAGGATGTTTTTCCATCCAGACCTGGTATCGAGACATCTTCACCTTAGTCTCCCAGTCTTCCACTTTTCCCTGAGAAGAGCTAAAAGAAAACCCTTTGAGAGAAAGAATTCTGCTGCTTCAGTTCTTCAAAAACAAGCTCAAAAGTGACTCTAGTGCATAAGAAACCTTCACAATAAAAACCCACAGTCTCAAGAAGTGATAATGTTTTTTAAATATAGCAGAGAGCATGCACCAGAGGCTGAACGCTAATACCATACACATTTAAATTAGATATGAGGTGCAATTATTTTTTTTAACAAGCAAGTGTGATAAACCACTGCAATGAATTAACAAAAAGGGCTGCATTCTCCAGTTCTCAGGCTCCAGATGAAGATGGGATACCTTTCAGAGGCATGCTTCAAGTAGGTTAGTGGGCTAGAAGAATCAGAACGGTTCTAGGGACAGGGAGTTCGCCAATTAACACCCCACTCAGGCTAGCAGCCCTCTCTGTCACTTGGGGCAAGCCTTGCAACCTCTCTGCAGACCAGTCCCCCGCTTTCTAACGTGGCTGTGCCCCGCATCAGCCAGGAGCGCGCTGTGACTGTGCTCTCTGGGTCGCTGAAGGCCAAGCAGTGCCCTGGCCTCGCCTCCCACTCCGGAGAAGTGCCGTTTCACCAGATCAACACGAACAGGACTGGTCTGTACTAACGGGCCCTCCCTGGAGCGCAGCTGCCGTGCTGGCACGTTGTAAGGGGGCGAAGGTGCCCTCGCAGCGCGGGCTGCTGGTGGTACCCCAGCTGGGGCTGGGGTGCGGAGCAGGCTCCTCTCCATCAGTGCCACTTCCCCTTCCTGGCACGGTCTAATGCTGATGGATCTGTACTAGAAATAACAGAAGGCCCTTGGCCTTTTTTTTCCTTTCTTTCTTTTTTGCTTCCCTTCAGCTATTTAGGCCAACTCTGGCTAATCACGTTTTCTAACTTAGTTACTGCCATGGCAACCATTTCAACATGCAGTTCATAGACTACCTCTGAGATGTACAGCCCCTTTGAGAAACACGTACACCTTGATGCTTCAGGAGAGGCATTAAGAGAGGAGAACTCTCATCTGCTACACTGACACATTTTTCTACAGTCTTACCTCTGGCAGCATGGATCTCTTCTTTTAGCTCTGAATAGCTCACCACTTGTTCTGTCCCCTTTCCCTCCCCCCAAAACAGGTTCTTTAAAAACTGACACAGATTTATGGAGATGAAAAAGAAAAGGTGTAGGAAGGAAAATGCATTTGGAAATTCCACTCTCTGGCATCTAAATTCACCCTTGTAAGAATGCTGCAAAGCCTGTCCTGTTACCACTTCGAAGGAAATCCTGTTTTGTTCTGTTGCGTCACTGTGGAAAAGGAGAAAGCTTTGGGGGCTTGCTTTCTGGTTTTTTTGAACCCCAGGAGAGAGATGGCAGCTTGGGAGTAGGGTAGGTGCTGCTCCTTCCTCCTTTGCAAAATGGCTTCTGTTCAGAATTGCAACTGCCCCGCAACGTGTAAAACCACATCTGCATTTGTCCAAGTGTAGACAGCAAGATTTGAACAGCACTGAAAAAAAGATCTATGTGGAACACGTAGGTGCATTTTTCCAACAGTCATCTCTGAGGATCTTGCTCAAGATCTACTGCAGCTAGGTTTGCTTTTGACTAGTCGTGATGCCTGCCCCTGACACCCAACCGGCATAGGAAGGTGCTGCAGTGAGGTGCTACACAGGTGTCTGCCATGCTGGTTACGAACGGATCATTTATTCTGCTCACACTTAACACATTCTTCTCTCAGGCGCAGTCAGAGGGGAGGCTCTGACTGCCAGCACCACAGTATAAAAAAATCCTTTTTTGTTTCTTTAGGTAATTGTGGCTGTTCTGTGGAAGAACCTGATTGCACGTCTTGAATGTTTTCTTTTATGTGTTTATGTGTGTAGGTTTCAAATACGTATATAGCACATGTAGTGTCATGCTGATCCTTATCAGGTGTAATTACACTATCTGTTCCTTTTTTCCCATCTTTTTCTGTGTTTTTATCACTGTCCACTGTCAGCTGGCCAGTAGCCACAAACAAGACCTGCCCCCACCACTACCAGCTACTTGCCATCAATAAGAAAAATGCTTCTGCTACTGACCAAGGGAGAGGAGAAATCTAGATGCACCCACAAGCAAGCAAATGTCGGCACACCCAAAATAACCCGAGTGGAACATTTGATTTCAGTTTAAATGTACCACTCAGCCCCGCAATGCAAGCTGTAGGAGAGCACCCTCAAACACAGTTCTTCGCACTGAAATTTTCTCTAGGAACAAAATCAGAGAGACAAGCGCCAGGAGTCACTAAGGCAGGCAGATAAATCTGAGCCAGCAGGTAAATAATATATTGCAGTCACCTTTGCCCTGTTATTTTAATGCACGCACATGCAGACACGCACACTGTTTCATAAGCCCTGCATACGCACTTCCCAATCAAGTATCATTTATATATACTATCTTCCACTGAAATCAAACCTCTGAGACTGCTGAAGTTAGGAAACATGTCTTGTGCTCAGAAAGAAACATCATATATAGTCTATCAATTCTCTGGGACTTCTTGACTGTGTATAGACTGCTTGGGGGGACCCAGATCCTCAGCTGTCCTTTCTAATCTGCAACCTAAAGTCAAGACAAAGGCTGGCAGGAGGAAAACATAGGACACAACTGACTGCTTTTAGCCCACATATTTTAATGCTAATGCATTTCTGTAACTGTATAATAAGGATGGACCAAATTACGATAGGTCTGTGAACTGGGAATACCATCTTTATGGCATGTGTATACCATAGGCCCAACTCTTCACTGAATCGAATTTCTGTAAACTGCTGCAGTGAATTTGGACTTTCACCTATACCACACCCCAGTTTCCCAATGTATCCAATTCTGAAGTCTCACTACTCTGTAGGTAAGCATGCACTCTTACCCCCATGTGAGAGAGGGCACAAAGGGACAAAGGCTAGAAATAAAGCTGGAAGAGTCCTCTCTTTCTTATATCACACATTAGGTAACTTGCCCGACACCTGCCAGACTGGCAGCATCTGGAGCACAAAATCAAGCCAGTGAATCAGGGCGCCAGTGGGGGAGCTCAACCATCCATCCCTCCAGCTCTTAGTGTGGTCCCAAGGACAGTTTTGGCCCAGGACAACCAGTGCTCTCCCAAACCGTTCCCAAGCACAGTCCAGGAGTTAGCATGGGCTGGGACTGTTCCCAATAGGTAGTCTGTATGTGGCCACATGGATTTGGAGGGCTAGAGGGTTTATCTGTCACACCATGGCCAGACAGCATTACTCAGCCACAAAGCAGAGCCACAGCTCCTGCCCCTGCCTGGTTTATTAGCACAGACATAGCTACTTGCCACCCAGGCTTGTACCTCAGGCTTTGGCCAGCGACCCAACGTACCTGCCTCTATTTTGATCAGGACACATCTCCGAGCCAGCCGTGCAAGTCCTCTCCTCCACTTCATTCCAGTGCAAAGTCAAACTAACTTCAGCTACAGGTGGCTTAAACCATCACATCTGACACTGAAGGGGCTGAGTGGAGAAGTGTTG